AGGAAGTGACTGAGCCGACCATCGCCCCAGAGCCTGAGCCTCACGATGATTGTTGATGATTGGATTGTTGAAGGAGTATTAGTGGAGATCGACGGCTTGGAGGGAAGCCCCACCCACACTCCTGCCGCTGTGAATGAGTTGAATCTGGCCTCTGGAGCTTATTATGAGGAACATAAGGACATTTTTGTTGGTGATTTAATAAACTGATTTGGGGAGGTAATACCCAATGTTCCTGAATTTCCTTTGTCGCCCGAGTCTCCGATGGTTCCATCCAGAACTCCTGAATCTCCTACATCTCCTGAGTCTCCAGTGGTTCCGCCCAGCTCATGTTTTCCTGTGTTATCTCCCAGCCTTCCCTCTCCCGCCTCCTCTTCTAGAACCAGTGAGCTCCTCAGCCATGCCTTCGATGTTCCTGTCAGTCCCTCAGCTCATCCTCAGTCTGCTCCATCCTGTTGTGTGTATCCACCTCAGGCCTTCCAGTCACCAGCTCCACATAGAAATGAAGATCCCCTGTCTCCGCCTCCGAGTCCCGGACTCCACCTCGGCCCTCTGACCCATCGGCTCCGAAATTGGCTCCTTGCTCCCTCGTCTCCACCATGGCCCGTCAACCCACTAGCTCAACCAGGCTCCCTCGTCCCTCTGGCTCCTCCTTGGTCAGTCGTCAACCTTCCTCTGCTATGGGATCCCACTCCTCTGGCTTTGCCTCGTCCCTCCATCCCTCAGGTTCCATCTGCCTCCTTCTTCATTCCGGCTCTACTGTTGTCCTCAGTTGCTCCGGATCTGCCGCGGTCTTGCAGGTCCCCATCTCCGCCTCGCTCGCATGAGCCGTCAGCTCCACCTTGGCCCTCGTGTGTCACCCTGTCTCTCCATCTTCGCTGCTCCACCTGGGTCTCCATCTCCAGTGGCTCAGTCTCCATCACTCGTCCACAGGGTGTCATCTGCCAATTCAACACTGTGGCTCCTCCCTCGACTCAGCCCAGGGGCCTCGTCCTGGCTGGTCTCCTGACCAACATCTGGCTCCTCCTGCTCCTGGATCCTCATTTGCTCCATGGATTTATTATTTGGACTTATTTTGGTTTTGCCTCTCTCCTGCTATTATGCCACATTACTTAACAAATAAACAACATTTTTAAATATGTTCAAATAAAAAGTTATTTTAAATTGTAATAATTTTAGACAATATTACAGTTGTTGTGTTTTTTATTATTAAATAAATGCAGCCTTGGTATGTAGAAGAAACTTAAAAATATATATATATTGCTCCCTTAAACACCTTCAGTGTAGTTAGCAACTTTTGGTTAGTAACTTAAAGTAGCTTTAGTATAGTCTAACTAGTAAGTAATTTGTAGTCTAATTACAGTTTTGTTAACACAGTCAGTATGCAAATATTCCATTCCCAGTATTTGGTTGGATTAAAATGTGTGGTTTTAATGAAATAAATCGAGACAGTACAGGGTGTTGTGTGTGCATCCGTCTTTCACGTGTGTGTGTGTGTGTGTGTGTGTGTGTGCATGTGCATTATGTTTAATATCTCTCTCGTTGCTTATCTCTATTGAGCTCTTAAAAAGCCATTTGAAGATGAATACATCCGCTCTAATGTGACTCTGATAAGATACAAGAGATAAGTTTTCATAAAGAGACGACAGCAGAGGCCGAGCAATTAGTCCAAATGGAAAGTTTCCAGAAAGCAGCAGATGCAGGCTGATACGAGCCGGTCCTCAGGTGTCCTCTTTTCTTTTGTATTTGGAAAATACAAACAGCCAGTAGTTTTTGTCTTTATCTGTGAGAAAGCCATCTGTCCAAACCTCTCGTGCCACTGTGTCCATTATGATTTAACAGCACTGATTAAACAAGTGTTTGGATACACTCAAAGACATCCACAATAATGAAATAGTGCAATTAGTGCCTGTGTTTGTGCAGCAGACATGAATGATTGCACAAATCATGTGTTTTGTTGAGGAGAGTTGTGCAGGTGCTTAAAGTGATCAAACATGAATGAGATGTTTATTTATTTTTATTTTTTTCTATTATATATTAATATTTTCATTCAGCAAGAATGCATTACATTTATTAAATGTGATAGTAAGAACATTTATAATGTAAAAAAAAAAGTTTCCACAAAAATATGAAGCAGTACAACATTGTTTTTAACAATGATAATAATATAAAATGTTTCTTGAGCAGCAAGTACTATTTTTGTACCTTTTTGTTCAAATAAATGCAGCCTTGTAGAGCATAGGAGACTTCATAAAAAAAAAACATAAATAAATAAATAACATTTTTAAAAATAATAATAATTATTATTGATAATAATTATTATTAATAGTTTATTATTATTATTATTATTATTATTATTATTTTAAAATTAACTGTATTAAAAACAGTTATTTTAAATTGAAATAATATTTCACAATACTACTTTTTTACTGTATGTAAAAAGTAAAATGTTTGTATATTTTGGTAAAATAAAAACAGCCTTCTAAGAGATGTCTTTAAAAACATAAAAAGCGTAATACATATAAAAATAAAGAAAATATAAATAAAAAACAGGTGTTTTAAACTGCAATAATCTTTCATAATATTACTGTTTTTTTATTCTTTGTACACAGCCTTTGTGCAGCCTTTTGAGAGCTTATGAGACTTTTAAAAACATTTTTTTTTTAAATATATCACCGACCATGAACTTGAACAGAAGTAAGTCCGAACATACCTCAAAATCTAAGTATAAATTGAGGATAAAATGAAAAAAAAAAAACCTTGAACACTGACACAGATGCTAGGATAGGTGTGGTATGTGTCATTATTATATTATTATTATTACTATTGTTATTACATCATTATTATTATGATGATTGCTTTTATTATTAATGATATCACTGTTGCCATCATCACAATGTATCATTGTTATCATCACCATCTTTATTATTATTATTATTATTATTATTATTATTATTATTATTATGCATGTTAGTACTACTTAATACTACTACTAATATTCAGATTGTCATTGCTGTTTATTTTCATTGCTGGTATTATCATTGCTGTTCTATTGCTTTTTTTGTGTTTTGTGTTCACCGTATGTTGTATGTTTTGCACTCTTAATAAAAAAATACAAATTTAAAAAATCTAAGTATAAATAATACACATATATATAATGCAAATTATTGTAGAAAAGAAAATAATCATTATTGTTTCAGTAGCTTTTGATTGTTTCAGTTGTTTCTCCTAGCTGGCAATGATATTAAATGAAGCTCAAATGTAGAGCATTATACTTGCAACACCAAGGGTGTGGGTTTGATTCTCTGGTAACAAATACTAATTAATATAATCATTAAACGTTTAGCTCAGAAGAAAGTATTTGCAAAATGCATAAGCATAAACATAGACTCCTGAGGAAAAATTGCCAAAGTGCAGATTTCACTAAAGTCTCAAATTATGCTCAGATCCCAAAGTCTGCAATCAAACAACAATATCAATATGATATCGTCAGATTGTCCCATGATTAAATGATCTGATCTGATCTGCTATCCACATTACTTTTATATACTCTTCCTGAATGACACCTTTTGACTCATTTTCAGGAGAAAAATCTGAGATGTGCAGTCTTCTCCGTCTCAGACCCTGTATGAAGAAGCAGCGTTGAGGTTTCAGTGGTGTTTGTGCTGTGCTGTGAGGACTGAAGGGTGTTAGATGTGTATTTGCAAAATTTACTCCATTGTAATTATCTGAAGGGTAAAGCGGCTCTTCTGGCGCTGAGTAATGAATATGTTGTTTTACATCATCAATAGCCTCCATCAGTGTGATGAGAAGGTAATTACTGTTATTTTGTCAGGTGTTTTTCAATGGGGGCAATGCAAGCAGCGTCTAGATCAATCTACTTTAATGAAACGTTTGATTATATAGCCAGATGACCCAAGGATACAACTAATTAGCCTTTTCAATATGAAACTAAAAAGAAATGCTTTAAAGAGTTGTAGAGCTTCCAAAGAAACACTTACCTGAAATCTATTGCTTGAATTTCTCATTTAAAGAGTGAATAAGAACACTTGAAATTCAAATTTTACCAGTATTTATTGATTTATTTCGTCACTATTTGGTGATTTCCATGAATTAAAAAATTATAATTTGTCAGTATTCATTCATATATTTTATTGCTATTTGGGGATTTCAGTTAACTTAAAACTAAATATTTTCTCAGTATGTATTGATTTATTTTGTCACTATTCAATGATTTTAGTTCATTTAAAATGACTATTTTGTCAGTATTTACTGATTTAATTTGTCACTATTTGAAGCTATTTTGTCAGTGTTCGGTGATTTTAAAGAAGAAAGCAAGTTATACAGGGTTGGTAAATTACATAATTTTATTTTTTCTTTGAACTATTCCTTTTATGTTTTGAGTAGATTTTCATGGAAAATGAAAATGACAAGCCACATTAAAATCATTTTCCAAATCCAAATTTCCTCCGTTTGAGGACAAACAATCAGCAAGTGTCTGTTAAAAATAATCAGCAACTCGGGTCATGAACGCTTGAACTGCAAAATGTAGTCTTGAAAGACAAGCTGGTCTGTATCCGTCTGAGCAGACGCTGCCGGCGGTGTCTTCAATAAATCTTCGCCTGCGGCTGATAAAGTTAAAGCAAGATGCTAATTTGAGTACCATATGCTCGACTGGCAGTATTGCATAAGCTGCTGTCTGCATCACATAATTTGATATCCACTCCATTTGAGAACAAGTTGAGAATATGGTCTTGGGAGAGTCCCACTGGCGTAAGCCTGCTTTTTGTTTTGTAATTTGAAACATGGACTGAGAAGATTTTTTTACATTTAATATGTGGTTAAACATAATTAAATAACATTATTATTATTATTATTATTATACATTGTGTACATTGTATTATTATGATTATATGTGTATATGTGTGTGTGTGTGTGTGTGTGTGTTGTTTCTGTACCACAGTATCTATAATTATTTTGATTTATGTTTCTCTCTTTTTCAGAATTCTTTCTGGAGTTGCTGGACAACTCAGAAAAGTCGCTGAACGACATGTTTGTGCGCACATACGGCAAACTGTACACGCACCACTCGGAGATGTTTGAGGACTATGTGGTTAAACATAATTAAATAACATTATTATTATTATTATTATACATTGTGTACATTGTATTATTATGATTATATGTGTATATGTGTGTGTGTGTGTGTGTGTGTGTGTGTGTGTGTGTGTGTGTTGTTTCTGTACCACAGTATCTATAATTATTTTGATTTATGTTTCTCTCTTTTTCAGAATTCTTTCTGGAGTTGCTGGACAACTCAGAAAAGTCGCTGAACGACATGTTTGTGCGCACATACGGCAAACTGTACACGCACAACTCGGAGATGTTTGAGGACCTGTTCTCCGAGCTCAAGCGTTACTACACCGGCGGAAACGTCAACTTGGAGGAAGTGCTGAATGACTTCTGGTCGAGACTTCTGGAGCGCATGTTTCAGCTGCTGAACTCTCAGTACACCTTCACTGATGACTATCTGGAGTGTATCAGCAAATACACCGACCAGTTAAAGCCCTTTGGAGATGTTCCACGCAAGCTCAAGGCTCAGGTCACCAAGGCCTTCATTGCGGCACGCTCATTTGTTCAAGGACTCATGGTGGGTCGGGAAGTGGCCAACAGAGTGGCAAAGGTAAGGCATCTATTTTTACACAAGTCTTCCAGTTCGTACTCAGCTTTCACTGGACGTCTAGACAGGTCAGTGGCCTTCAGCGTCTGTCGATGAAATAGACCTTTTACTGTGCAAGAGATCTGGAGAAAACATTGGTGAAGCAGAGAAAAACGCTTTGCTGTGTTTTTATTTTATTTTATTTTTTTTATAATTTTGAAACTATAACGTTGATATATCTACCATGGTGCATTTGACATATGCATTGATTATTATAATTATTATTAATAATAGTAATATATAATATTAATAAGTAGATCAAGCTGGAGACAACAGGCAAGTTAATGAATAGCAGGTTTATTGATAAAAATGGCTGAGGCAGATCGAATGGAGCAACGACTGGTGAGTATCCAACACAAATGACAGTTCAATGAATCTTAGAGGAGTAGTGAAGTTTCGCGGAGTCAGCGGCGGCCGGTGGGCTTGACGTAGGAGAGGCCGGCGTGCCTGACGGGCGAGCTGGTTCTGGAGCGGGGATGGACGCTCTCCAGACACCGGAGGATCCCTTCCCTCCAGCTCAGTCCAGTGGTGTCTGGGAGGTCCACGGGCTGATCATTGTTGGCCCCGATCCAGACCTACCTAGCATACTCCACAAACGGGAGATCCAGGTGAGCTAGGGCACGAATGTCACAGATCAAGCTGGAGACAACAGGTAAGTTAATGAGCAGGTTTATTGATAGAAATGGCTGAGACAGTTCAAATGGAGCAATGACTGGTGAGTATTCAACACAATTCACAGTTCAATGAATCTTAGCTTAGTAGTGAAGTTTGGTTCTTTTGCAATGTAACGGATGGTTCGGGATTCAGGAGTGGAGGAGAGCAACGTAGGAAAAACTTCAGGGATCTAGAGGCAAGTATAAACAGGTCAGTAGCATATAGAGAGTCTGGTTAAGTTCAGTGTAGTGAACGGTAGACCAGATGGTGAGTGATTGGAAGGAGCGTGCTTATGAATGGTGCCTTGATAGCAGATGACAGGTGTGAGGAATCAGAACTCAGGTGATGGTGATCGTGACTGAGAACAGGTGTGAGCCGGGGAGGATTCTGTGACATGGAGTCCAGAGCTGGTGATTGTGGTGATTCGCTGACAGATATGATATGATATGATATAATAAGAAGTTTTTTTTTTCATCTAGCTGGTGCATATGTTCTTGTTTTTAAGTATGTTATTTTTTATTGTCATTGTGCATAAATCATCTGAAACACATTGGTTTGCTCGGGAATAAACAGCTCAGATTACATATTGGGATTTATTGCAATCCGAGGCCTCATCTCTGGTATGTTTTCCCTGAATTAAGCACTGAAAATCCCACTCATATTAGATTATGAGAACCATTTGGAGAATTCGTGCTTCATGCCATCCCTTTGTACTTGGAATGCTGAAAGGGGCAAAAGAAGATTTAGCAGATTATTATTATTTATTATTATTTATTTTTTTCCCCAGAGATTTGAGGTTAACATTATTTAAACTGCAGCAAAACAGTATTTATTGGGTTGTGTGATTTCAGATGTAAAGGAGCAGTTCACCAAAAAAAATGAAAATTTGCTGAAAATGTACTCACTCTCAGGCCATCCAAGATGTAGATGACTTTGTTTCTTCATGGGTACAGATTTGTTTGATAATTCCTAATGCAAAACAAGCACACATTATATTCTTGCCTTTGCTTTCTATCTAGCTGCATGACACAGATGTCTGAAGGAAATTCTGTCACGCCCTTGACTGAAAGGGGCAAAAGAAGATTTAGCAGATTATTATTATTTATTATTATTTATTTTTTTCCCCAGAGATTTGAGGTTAACATTATTTAAACTGCAGCAAAACAGTATTTATTGGGTTGTGTGATTTCAGATGTAAAGGAGCAGTTCACCAAAAAAAATGAAAATTTGCTGAAAATGTACTCACTCTCAGGCCATCCAAGATGTAGATGACTTTGTTTCTTCATGGGTACAGATTTGTTTGATAATTCCTAATGCAAAACAAGCACACATTATATTCTTGCCTTTGCTTTCTATCTAGCTGCATGATACAGATGTCTGAAGGAAATTCTGTCACGCCCTTGAATATATATATATATATATATATAAAACCCTTTATAATCTAAGTTGCATAGCTGTATTTAAAAATAATGCAATATTGACCTTAAAGCGAACTTTGGAAGTTTTCCATGCTTCTATTGGGCCGTTTCATTAAAAAAAAGAAACTCTTTTCTTACAGTTGGGAGGATAGAGTTGCCTAGTTCAATAGGATCAGTAGTCTGTCTGTCTGCTGAACAGACGTCTGTTAAGGTCTCATTGATGCCGCCGATTTTCAAGTGCACATACCCTTTTTGTTTGAGAGTCGAGCTCGCCACACTGTTTACAAGAATGCCACATTCTGTAAAAAATAGCAATACTTCATCTCTGTGTTATTCAATTGTATAGTTCACCGGAAATTACGTAACTAAATGCTCATTTTTGCAAGCATTATTCCATTTGTTGCATAAGGACAAAGACATATATTTTCCCTTTCCATTTTGAGAATAGTCCAGATTTTAGTAGTTTTGTGGTGTGGTAGTTTTTTATGTGGTAGTCTATATGGTTTATTAATTTTTATTTATGTTATATTTAAATAATTTCAGCTTTATTTCAGTTTTATTTGAATTTAGTACTTTAGTTGCAAACTATAGCTGAACTTAAAGGGATAGTTCTCTCAAAAATGAAAATGAGCCCATCATTTACTCACCCTCAAGCCATCCTAGGCGTATATGACTTCCTTCTTTCAGATGAATCCAATCGTAGTTATATTAAAAATTGACTTTGATCTTCCAAGATGTTTAACCCTTTGAGCGGTACGGTCCCACATATGGGATTTAGAACGTTCGGTGACGTCACATAAATGCCAAATTCAAACTGTGCTTTCGCGCTTTAGCTGACGCTGAGCCAGAGAGAGACATGCACAGCGCTTGTCATATCACAACTATGCAGTGTTCTTAACCACATAATGCATATTTTAGGTGTCAGACATTTAAATACATATAAGTACTAGTAAAACAATACATTTAGAGTTTGTGAAATACACACATATGTCTATGGAAGCAACAATAACAATCTATTCAAATTTAATTTGCCGATGAGTTATATTCATATCAGATACACATAGTGTAAGTAACTATAAAGTTCACTCTGTTCTTCACCCAATTCACCGGCCACTTATTACTTGTATTTCAGGAGAAATTGATAAATCCACATGCTGTAAATCCGTCTGACAGGACTCTCTGAACTGCAGCGGGAACAAAGATGGCGGCGCCCATCTCACATTACAGATCATGGTCAAGATCATTTAGAAAGGTTTTTAAAGACAAAACACTAATTTAGATGAGATGAACATGTATGAACTGTGAACATTTCTTTAATTTTTGAAGTTACTTTCCACTAAAATTTTCTTAGGTAAAAGTGACTTTTTCCTCTTGAATGTACTTTTCTGTGGATGTAATTGTTTGCCTCTCACTATAATACAGCAGGTGATATCAGAAGTGGCTGTTTGTGACTTTATGACTTTATGACCTCCAGCAAAATTGTTCTCAATAATGTTTCGGTAAAGCCGATTGTATAGTTGACGATAATGTCACATTCACTAACCATGTCTGAAGTGTTGCCTTGTCTGCTTAATATAAGTGTCTTTGTGTCTTTGTTTTTTGAGGGTGAAAACAGTCTAATATTTTGAATTACTTTGTAGAGGCAAGTCACTTGTTTAGGGTTTGTTTTGTCAGACCTGGTTGCTTGTTTTTGCATGTATCTGGGTTTGCATACAGTATGTTTGTGCAAAAACATTTTCAGGAATTGTGGATTAGTTTGAAATTAACAAAAAAAAATTAAAGTATTGTATGTAAAAGTTTAATATCAATGCACTCCCTCATACTGAAATTATATTAAGGGTGCATTCAAATCATGTCAGAAAGATCATATGTATTTGAATGAATATAGTTGAATGCCACCACAAAGCCATAATTCCGTGTGGGAAATATATATATATATAATATATTAATCATAAGTTTCCAATGGATGCACTACTGTCTTGACGTTAAATTTGTTGAAAGTAATAAAAAATATTTTTAATATAATAATAATAGTAATAATAATAATTTTTTGCATGTATCTGGGTTTGCATACAGTATGTTTGTGCAAAAACATTTTCAGGAATTGTGGATTAGTTTGAAATTAACAAAAAAAAATTAAAGTATTGTATGTAAAAGTTTAATATCAATGCACTCCCTCATACTGAAATTATATTAAGGGTGCATTCAAATCATGTCAGAAAGATCATATGTATTTGAATGAATATAGTTGAATGCCACCACAAAGCCATAATTCCGTGTGGGAAATATATATATATATAATATATTAATCATAAGTTTCCAATGGATGCACTACTGTCTTGACGTTAAATTTGTTGAAAGTAATAAAAAATATTTTTAATATAATAATAATAGTAATAATAATAATGATGATGATGATGATGATGATTTGTATTATTTTTAAGTTGCATGTACAAAATGCAATATTATTGTACAAAAATAGCATATTTTAACAGTAAATTTAATAGTAGTAGTAATTTATTATTATTAAGTTGCATTTACAAAATACAATAAAAGGTAGTAATATATTTTAATACTATATATAATAGTAATATTTTTTTATATTTAAGTTGCATGTACAAAAGTACATGTACAAAAATTAATGTACAATTATGATAGAATATATAATGATTCAATTTACAACACTTTGATAAACTGAATAAAAGTTTCAGTGAGAAAACATGTCAGACACAGTAGATACAACATCTGAATTGACTGTAAATGTTGAAATGAATGAAATTATTATTTTTAATAATAATAATATTAATAATAAGTTGCATGGGCAAAATCCAGTAGTATTGCACAATTATGAATATATAACGATTCATTACATGACACCTTCATAAATTGAAT